CTAGTTTTGAAAGTGGAATTTACTTTTTAGATATCCATTGGTCCAGTTTTCTCTAGTTGTGTTCATGTTATCAAGAAAATCGCCGGTCATAAATTGTTCCAGGAATTCAAAGAGATTAATGGGCATCTATTGCTTAGAGGAATTGACGTATCGAAGACTCTTATATAGGTCCTGTTGAATTTTTTTTTTGGAAAAGTCCCTAATAATTACATGTGCATTCATATATATTGATGCATTTATGAATGCATCAAGGTATATATGCTTTTTTTGAGTTCAATTAAAATCCATCTGCTGGAAATGATGTAAATAGCACTCTGCAAATACGAATGTGAAAAGTGCGCAAAAAACGTGAATGATTTCGAGTTTTCAAAGTGGAATTTACTTTTTAGATTTCCATTGGTCCAGTTTTCTCTAGTTGTGTCCATGTTATCAAAAAAGCGCCGGTGTTAAATTGTTCCAGAAATTTAAATAGATTAATGGGCATCTATTGTTATGAGTAATTGACGTATCGAAGACTCTTATATAGGTCCTGTTGAGTTTTTTTTGTAAAAGTCTTTAATAATTACATGTGCATTCATATATATTGATGCATTTATGAATTCATTAAGGTATATATGCACTTTTTGAGTTCAATTGAAAGTCATTAGCTGAAAGTGACGTAAATAACACTCTCCAAAAACGAACATAGAAAAGGCGCGAAAAGAAGTTTATAGTTTTGAAAGTCGAATTTAATTTGTAGATTCCCCAGTGGAATATAAACTACCTATTGATCCAATTTTCTCAAATTGGGTTTTTAAGCAAAAATTGTGCATGCCAAACTGATTTGAAATTTAAAGAGGTTTAAGGACATTTATTTTTAGGAGTAATGAACGTAGTGAATTTTTTTTAGGAAAAAGTCTAAAATATTGATGCACTTAGGTATATGTAATTTTTTTAAGTTCATTTGAAATTAATCTACTGAAAGTGACGTTAATAGCCTTCGCCAAAAGCGAACATAGAAATGGCGCGAAAAAACGTTTCTAGTTTTGAAAGGGGAATTTAATTATTAGATTTCCCAGCGGAATATAAACTTTTCCTATTGATCCACTTTTCTCAAGTTGGGTCATTTTTAACGAAAAGTGTGCATACCAAATTGATTTTGAAACATAAAGAGATTTGAGGTCCTTTGATTTTAAGAGTAATATAGGTCTAAATGATTTTTTTTCTTTTGATTTTTTTTTTCAGGAAACAGTCTAAAATATTGAGGAACTTAGGTATATAAGCACTTTTTGAGTTCAATTGAAATTCATCTGCTGGAAGTGATGTAATTAGCACTCTGCAAATACAACTGTGCAAAGGGCGCAAAAAAACGTGAACGATTTCTAGTTTTGAAAGTGGAATTTACTTTTTAGATTTTCATTGGTCCAGTTTTCTGTAATTGTGTTCATGTTATCAAAAAAGCGCCGATCATAAATTGTTCCAGGAATTCAAAGAAATTAATGGGCATCTGTTTTTAAGAGTAATTAACGTAGTGAAGACTCTTTTATAGGTCCTGCTGATATTTTTTGAAAATGTCTCTAATATTTACATGTGCATACATATATATTGATGCATTTATGAATGCATTAAGGTATATATGCACTTTTTGAGTTCAATTGAAAGTCATTAGCTGAAAGTGACGTAAATAGCACTCTCCAAAAACGAACATAGAAAAGGCACGAAAAGACGTTTTTAGTTTTGAAAGTGGAATTTAATTTATAGATTCCCCAGTGGATTATAAACTTTACCTATTGATCCATTTTTCTCAAATTGTTTTTTTTAGCAAAAATTGTGCATATCAAACTGATTTTGAAATTTAAAGAGATTTAAGGTCATTTAGTTTTAAGAGTAATAAACGTAGTGAAGACTCTTATATAGGTCTTGCTGATTTTTTTTAGTTCAATCGAAATTAATCTACTAAAAGTGACGTTAATAACCTTCTTCAAAAGCGAACATGGAAATGGCGCGAAAAAACGTTTCTAGTTTTGAAAGTGGAATTTAATTTATAGATTTCCCAGCGGAATATAAACTTTACCTATTGATCCAATTTTCTCAAGTTGAGTTATTTTTTAAAAAAAGTGTGCATACTAAATTGATTTTGAAAGATAAAGAGATGTAAGTTCCTTTGATTTTAGGAGTAATATAGGTCTTACTGATTTTTTTTCTGATTTTTTTTTCAGGAAAAAGTCTAAAAGATTGAGGAACTTAGGTATATATGCACTTTTTGAGTTCAATCATAATCCATCTGCTGAAAGTGATGTAAGTAGCACTCTGCAAATACGAATGTGCAAAAGGCGCAAAAAACGTGAACGATTTCTAGCTTTGAAAGTCTAATTTACTTTTTAGATTTCCATTGTTCAGTTATCTCAAGTTGTGCTCATGTTATCAAAAAAGCGCCGATCATAAATTGTTCAAGAAATTTAAAGAGATTAATGGGCATCTGTTTCTAAGAGTAATTAACATAGTGAAGACTCTTATATAGGTCTTGATGATTTTTTTTGAAATGTCTTTAATACTTACATAAGCATTCATATATATTGATGCATTTATGAATGCATTAAGGTATATTTGCACTTTTTGACTTCAATTGAAACTAATCTACTGAAGTGACGTAAATACCTTTCTTCAAAAGCGAACATAGAAATGGCGCGAAAAAACGTTTCTAGTTTTGAAAGTCTAATTTACTTTTTAGATTTCCATTGGTCCAGTTTTCTCTAGTTGTGTTCATGTTATCAAAAAAGCGCCGATCATAAATTGTTCCAGAAATTTAAAGAGATTAATGGGCATCTGTTTCTAAGAGTAATTAACATAGTGAAGACTCTTATATAGGTCTTGATAATTTTTTTTGGAAAAGTCTCTAATAATTAAATGTGCACTCATATCTATTGATGCATTTATGAATGCATTAAGGTATATATGCACTTTTTGAGTTCAATTAAAATGCATCTGCTGGAAATGATGTAAATAGCACTCTGCAAATACGAATCTGCAAAGGGCGCAAAAAACGTGAACGATTTCTAGTTTTGAAAGTGGAATTTACTTTTTAGATTTCCATTGGTCCAGTTTTCTCTAGTTGTGTTCATGTTATCAAAAAAATCGCCGGGCATAAATTGTTCCAGGAATTCAAAGAGATTAATGGCATCTATTGCTTAGAGGAATTGACGTATTGAAGACTCTTATATAGGTCCCGTTGAATTTTTTTTGGAAAAGTCTCTAATAATTAAATGTGCACTCATATCTATTGATGCATTTATGAATGCATTAAGGTATATATGCACTTTTTGAGTTCAATCATAATCCATCTGCTGAAAGTGACTTAAGTAGTACTCTCCAAATATGAATGTGGAAAGGGCGCAATAAAACGTGAACGATTTCTAATTTCGAAACTGGAATTAATTATTAAGATTTCAAGCGGAATAAAAATTTACCTATTTATCCAGTTTTCTCTAGTTGGGTTCATGCTATCATGAAAGCGCCAATCATGAATTGTTCTAGAATTTCAAAGAGGCTAAATGGCATCTTTTTTTTTGAAATTCGAAAAATGAGATTTTTTCAAGAAAGTCAGTGTTTTTTTATGTTTACTGGCGTTCTTTACTCTTTTCCCATCTCTGATTGGCTATGTTTTACTTGAGCAGCAGTAGCTTCTGTTCGAGTGGAATTGTTGCCGGCGTCTTTGCGCAGTGCTGATTTAAATGAACCGGACAAAATGGACAAAACTTGATTTTCAAACACGTTTTTCTCAAATTGGGTTAAGATTAGACAAAAAATGAAAAGAACAAAAGTTGCGTAGAATTTCATCAGAATTATTATAATGCAAATTTATCTCCGAAATTCTCAACCAAAATTTTACCCCCAAAAATGGGTAATTTGGCTTTTTCAATTAATCAAGAATTACGCTGAAACTGCTTAATTAATTAATGCGGAGTATATATCACAAGAAGCCTCTTACACAGGCCAACAAAGTTCTAGAATGGTTAAATCTCCAAAAACCAGTATAAGAGAAAATATTTTTGCTTGATATTTTTGTCAAGAATATTTTTGTCAAGAAAAGTTATTTTTATTATATAAAACTCAAAATCTTGGATTAAAAACAAATTTTAAACAATTTGCTCAATTTTTTGGAGATTTAAACCTTCTAGAATTTTGTTGGGGTATGTAAGAGGCTTCTTGTGATATATATCTCTCATCAATCAACAAAGTAGTTTCAGCGTAATTCTTGATTAATTGAAAAAGCCAAAATGACCCATTTTTGGTGTAAAATTTTGTTTGAGAACTTCGGAGAAAAAATGCACTTAATTAATTCTGGTGAAATTCTAAGCAGATTTTGTTTTCCTTTTCTTTTTGTCTAATCGTAACTCAATTTGAGAAAAAAGCGTTTGACAATTCAAGTTTTGTTCGTTTTGTCCGAATAATTTTAATCAGCACTGTATTATTTCTGATTTAAGTTTCACTGGCAAGGATTGCTCTCTTGAAAATAGTTTTTTTGGAGGTTTTTGTTTTTCGTGACAAAGATCTGCGATTGGACTCCAGATCGATATTTTTAAAATATTTTCTTGTGTCCGTTGAAGATTTTTAAGAAGTGGCAGAATGTTTTTGTATACCGTTTTGGTCGATTGACTCTGGGGTGCCGGATAATTTTTGTTCGCTGCTTTTCAAGTGGGAATGTGCGATTCAGGGGATTTGAATTTAGATTCAATTCCCATTCATTTTTAATCAATTCTGGAATTTAGAATTTTTTTATTTATAGTTGTCAATAAATTTCCACGGCAACCCAACTAAATTGAAATTCGTTTCAGATCTCTGAAATCAATTCAGTGCATTGGTGTTTTCAGAGCATCACACATCCCTAATTTCAAATTATCTGCCAGTAGCTGTTAAAATTATTGCTTTTTTCTTGTTCTTGCGAAGCTTAATTTGTCTTTTGTAATATGATGTTAACATTTGGTGTCTTCGATGATTTCATATTTCTATAATAATTTCAGGCTATCGCTAGGGAATTACACGAAGAGAGTGTGCGCAACAAGCATGCTAAGCTTCAGCCAGCCGTTGAGAAACATCATCACAATGCTCCGAAGCCACACATTCAGCAGCCATCTAAGCAGTGAAAACAGGCGAAGACATGTTTGTGTCTATAAACAGACTGTGTGGTCTTTGAGTGGCTATGTAGTGGGATACGGGAATTTCTTACATGCATACAACTGCGAAATCAAGTGTATTCCAGTGATGTAGCTTTACCAATTTATATTTGAGTTTCATTTTTTGCTTAATGAGTAAATGATTTGTTAATTGTGAATGATGGGTTGAGGTGGCCGAATCTTAATGCTCGAACATCCTGGTTCTATGAAGAATATAAAGACATCATTCCAAATGAAAAAGATTTGTAATTTTTGTATATAATTGCAGGATCTTTGGGACTGTGGCCCATGTGTAATTGATGAATGTCGCTAAAAGTGTAACTTGATGTTTGTACAAAATGACAATTTTTCTTGTCTGGAGTTGAAATTGATATTTAATAACAGAAGTCCTCATAAAGATCGTTACTTTAAGCATGTCCTATTTTTTCATCAAAATTAACAAATATATTTTTGGTTTCGGAAGCTTTATTATGATTCCCGAGAAGGTCATAGTCGTATAAAATGAGCTAAGTCATTTCCAATGACGCAATCGTAAACATTCAGTTTTGAGCAAGTCTCTGGTGAGTGTTCTTTTATTTTGAAATTTAAATAATTAGATATGTTCAGTTCGTAATAAATCAGAGGCTTCAATTAAACGAGCTGCGAATTTTCGATTTTTGCGGTCCCTTTCATTTTTGCGACGCCTTGGAAAATTAAGTAATATTGAAACCACACGCAACAACTAGGTAAGAACTAACAAAATGAAAGCAGTTGTTTCTAAGAGTAAACTCGTACAACTGATACTTGGCGATGTGATTTGGTTGAACATTGCGAATTGTGAGGTCTTTTCTAGACATTGCGAGACACATAACCTCCCCACCCCCGCCACAAAGGGGGGGGGGGAGGTTATGCGTCTCGCAATTTTTACTCCCTTGATCCAGATCTTTTATAATTCATTTTTCATGACCAAAATGCTACATTTTCCGTTTTGATTTATGCCATGCTACCCAGTTGCTTTGCATTTTGCAACTAAATTCTCTTGTATAATTTCTTTTGATGTCAGTCTCTATTCCTCAGTGAAAAAAAATTTCCCATGTGTTTCTTTGCCCAAAATTCGTCTGTATCCTTGCGCCAAAAACTTGAGTATAGGTTTGGTTCCCTTTTCTACTTCGCGGGGTTGGCCCAGTACCCTTGGGACGCTGAAAAGTATCGGGTGGGAGAAGAGAGGAGCTTAAATTGATAGTTGTTTCTGATTGAGTTGATCGAGATCGTCTTCGAAGCTTTTCTTGCGGAATTTGCTGATAAACTTTGTTAAGAAAAGGTAGCATTTCACGCCACGTGGTCATATAGCTTTCCCGTAACGAATTGGAAAATTTCACTATGAAGCATTATCTGGATTTTTGCATAATATGTTGGCGCTGCTTTCTGAGCCATTGCGGCCATGACTGAACAGCGCCGTGCTGGTGTTTTATCTGGAAATAAAATAGGGTTAAATTGGTTCAGAAAAGGTCGCATTTTAAGCCACGGCCATATAGCTTTCCCGTAACAAATTGGAAAATTCCATTAATGAAGCATCTGGATTTTTGCATGATGTCGGCGCTGCTTTCTGAACCATTGCGGCTATGACTGAACAGCGCCGTGCTGGTGTTTTATCTGGAAATAAAATAGGGTTAAATTGGTTCAGAAAAGGTCGCTTTTCAAGCCATGTGGTCATATAGCTTTCCAGTAACAAATTGGAAAATTTCACTTATGAAGCATTATCTGGATTTTTTGCATTGCTGCCATGACTCTATGGCGTAGTGCTGGTGTTGTATCTGGAAATAAAAAACGATTAAATTGATTAAGAAAAGCTCGCATTTCAAGCCACGTGGTCATATAGCTTTCCCTTAACAAATTGGAAAATTGGAAAATTTCACTAATGAAGCGTTATCTGGATTTTGCATGATATGTCGGCGCTGCTATCTGAGCCATTGCTGCCATGACTGACCGGCGTGGTGGTGGTGTTTTATCTGGAAAAAATAGGGGTAAATTGGTTAAGAAAAGCTCACATTTCAAGCCACGTGGTCATATAGCTTTCCCTTAACAAATTGGAAAAATTCACTAATGAAGCTTTTTCTGGATTTTTGCATGATATGTCGGAGCTGCTATCTGAGCCATTGCTGCCATGAATGACCGGCGTGGTGGTGGTGTTTTATCTGGAAAAAATAGGGTTAAATTGGTTAAGAAAAGCTCGCATTTCAAGCTAAGTGGTCATATACCTTTCCCGTACCAAATTGGAAAGTTTCTAATGAAGCATTATCTGGAATTTTGCATGATATGTCGTTGCTGCTTTCTAAGCCATTGCTGCCATGACTGAACCGCGCAGTGCTGGTGTACTATCTGGAAATAAAATAGGGTTAAATTGGTTCAGAAAAGGTCGCATTTTAGGCCACGTGGCCATATAGCTTTCCCGTAATAAATTGGAAAATTCCACTAGTGAAGCATTATCTGGATTTTTGCATGATGTCGGCTCTGCTTTCTGAGCCATTGCTGCCATGACTGAATGGCGTGGTCTGGTGTTTTATGTGGAAAAAAAGGGTTTAACTGGTTATGAAAAGGTCGCTTTTCAAGCCATATGGTCATATAGCTTTCCAGTAACAAATTGGAAAATTTCACTTATGAAGCATTATCTGGATTTTTTGCATTGCTGCCATGACTCTATGGCGTAGTGCTGGTGTTGTATCTGGAAATAAAAAACGATTAAATTGATTAAGAAAAGCTCGCATTTCAAGCTAAGTGGTCATATACCTTTCCCGTACCAAATTGGAAAATTTCTAATGAAGCATTATCTGGACTTTTGCATGATATGTCGTTGCTGCTTTCTGAGCCATTGCTGCCATGACTGAACAGCGCCGTGCTGGTGTTTTATCTGGAAATAAAATAGGGTTAAATTGGTTCAGAAAAGGTCGCGGTTCAAGCCACGTGGTCATATAGCTTTCCCGTACCAAATCGGAAAGTTTCACTAATGAAGCATTATCTGAATTTTTTGCTTGATATGTCGGCGCTGCAGTGAGCCATTGCTGCCATGACTGAATGGCATGGTCCTGGTGTTGTATCTGGAAAAAATAGGGTTTAGGGTTATATTGGTTAAGAAAAGGTCGCATTTCAAGCCACGTGGTCATATAGCTTTCCCTTAACAAATTGGAAAATTTCACTAATGAAGCGTTATCTGGATTTTGCATGATATGTCGGCGCTGCTATCTGAGCCATTGCTGCCATGACTGACCGGCGTGGTGGCGCTGTTTTATCTGGAAAAAATAGGGGTAAATTGGTTAAGAAAAGCTCACATTTCAAGCCACGTGGTCATATAGCTTTCCCTTAACAAATTGGAAAAATTCACTAATGAAGCTTTTTCTGGATTTTTGCATGATATGTCGGAGCTGCTATCTGAGCCATTGCTGCCATGAATGACCGGCGTGGTGGTGGTGTTTTATCTGGAAAAAATAGGGTTAAATTGGTTAAGAAAAGGTCGCATTTCAAGCCAGGGGGTCATATAGCTTTCCCTTGACAAATTGGAAAATTTCACTAATGAAGCATTATCTGGATTTTTGCATGATATGTCGGCGCTACTCGAATTTTTGTTCTTTTTTCATGATTAAACGTTGAGTGGTTTACGCTCTTCAGGTTTGAGATGGTCGATGTAACTACAAGCAATTTTGATTCAGTCCTCAAAGCCATCCCAGATGTTATCCGCAATTGCGACTTCATTGCGCTAGACTTAGAGCTGAGTGGCCTGGATGAAACACACTGTAGAAACACCGCAGACCTGCCTCAGAGTCGCTTCAAAAGATGCCGGAGAGACGTGCTTAAATATACCCCGGTTCAAGTTGGCCTGGCGTTCTTCCAGTATGACGAAGACGATAAAAAGTACACTGTTCGACCCTATAATTTTTATGTTTTTCCATTCCACAATAGCTCCCAGTTCCCAGACATGCATGTTCAGTTCCTGACCTCATCGATGAGTTTTTTATCCTCTCACGGATTCGACTTTAACAAATGGGTCAATTGTGGAATTCCGTTTGTATCTGTAGCGAAGGAAGATCAAATGAGGAGACATATGGAACAGCATTTCGATGACTTGAGAAAAGGGCTGGGTTTTCTTCTAGAAGAAATAAACATATTTTTCTAATCATCTTATATTAAAGTGTTTAGTTGAGATTTAGAGACTAATTTTTGTGAAATTTAAAAAAGTTTTCGATATTTTTCATATCTTCAAAAATCCGTTAGAATACTCAAACCAAGCTCTTGTCCCTTGTAGAAGAAACTTCTCCCCAGAAGGACCAAGAGTTTAAACGTAAAGATGCCCAAGAACTAATCGATGCAGAATTCAGAAATGCAGATTTTCTCAGACTAACTCGCGAACAGTTGAGGGCGCTGAAAGATGAAGGCGATGAGTGTCAAATAAAGGATGCCAACTCTTTCCAGCGTCGTCTTGTTTTCAAGATAATTTCGTCAGAATTTTCTGAGAAAAATTTGGTCGGAATTGTAAAAAGTGTGGAAGGGTCGCAAGATAATAAGGACAAGTACATACTGGTTAAGAAGTTAAGTGTGGGATCCAGAACTTCAAGACTGGGTCAGTATAGTTTTTTAAACAAACAGGTTAACTTGTTAACATAACCCGGAGGATAAAGAATAAATGCCTTTTGATATAAGTTAACCAATCAACATATAAAATAAAGTCAATCCAGTTTGGCATCGAAACAATATTATAATTATTAAGTTTGAGTTAAATATAAGTATGAGTTGTAATTACATATGATTTAAAAACCCCATTTTTTTGATAACTGGTACTTGTTCAATTAAATTTAGTAAATTTTCATTAAGTTCAGTTTTATGAGTTTTTTTGAGCATTCTCAAGTTTTAAGGTAAACCGTTCAATTCGTTAATTTGTTCTCTACTCACTTTTTCATCTTTTCTTTATCGACTCATGTTGTTTTCTTCCCAGGCAGGCGAATTCAAAGGTCACGCCAATTTTTTTCCAATTTATCTTTTTCTTCGTATTTTTTGTTATTACAAAATGGAAATTGACACGAAGTAATTTCACTCGGAACTTTTTTCAAAATCAATGGTCCAGAATATTTTCCTAATTGTGCAAAAACAGATTTAGGTCTTTCTGCGATTTTTTCTATTTTCTATTTCTGGCCTTTCCTAATTTTTCTCTAATATGTTGGGTTGTTTTTTTTCAATTAAGTTGTAATAGCTTTCTATTGTTCTCTGGAGTTGAGACAAGTGACGAAGAGATCTTTACGAAGTCAAACCTCCTTGGGTTTTTTTTTCAATTACTCATTTTGAGGCTGTGAGTTTTTGTTCTTTTTTACTCAATAATTTGGGTCTGTTTCTTTCAAATCAGTTGCTTCAATTATTTAGGCAGCCAATGTGTTGTCTTTCTTTGTCCGAAGACTTAGATTTTAATTTTAAAGTCGCATTTTTTATTCGAAATTGATACAGAAATATCCCAAAAATTTGAAACATTTCGCATATTGTGCTTGCTTGATATATACAATTTATATCCAAACAAAAATTTTATTAAAAAACCGTTTGTATAGGTCATTGTATCTTCTTTTCGATTACCTAAACCACGATTTGAAATATATGTAACAATCAAATGATCCGGTGTTTGGACAAACTCTGACAATTACTCAATTAGTTTTTGGAGTTTCATTTTGTTTAAGGTAACCAAGTCTAACTTGCCATTACGGTTGATTTGTCATGTATTTGCGATAAAAAATCACAATTTTCATAATTTTTACGCACTCTACGGCTATTAAATAAGTGAAATCGAATTAATTGACAGCTTTGTTTTTGTTCCAATAAAAATTTCTTTAAATTCAAAGTTTCAGCTATTGTGGGCCGGGGTATATTTCGATATCCTCTGACTGAAGTAGTAATTGAGTTAAGTTGAGAATACAAATACATTAATATACAACGAAGTCAATAAATATACAACGAAGTCAGTTAAACTAGCGCAGCCGTTTTATTCCAAATTTGTAAAAATATTACCACTGAGTGACATATTTCGCTTTTAGTAGTGTTTGATTGAATTGGTTGATTCAAGTGAAAATACGGTAAACCTGTTTAAAAACGGTCAAATATTTTTGATTTTTACTCAATTATTCAGTTTAGCCTTATTTTTTCACAATTTTTTGAGGTTGAATATCACTTGTAGCAAAACAGCAACTTTGTCTTCTTAGGTAGCTCCGCATTCGATTAATCATATTTTGAGCGCATTATCAGCTGGGTAAATTTCTTTCATTAGATATATCGTATCCAAATCCGGGTTTGCACATTTTGCGTATCCAAATCCGGGGGTTAGGGCTGATAGTGTTATACTCAACCTCGGTCACAACAACTTCTCATCGACTGCTTTCCAGATATTTGCTTTTTTTCCAATATTCGGCATTAATTTTTCTATTGAATTGCATAGTTAGTTTCAATTAGCTTCAACTTTTTTTTAAAAATGTATTAACGGTTAAAGGCGTTTTATCCAAAATTTAAAGGCTAAAATCTGGCATTTGGCTCATTAAGTCTTTTTCATGCTCATTAAGGCATTTGGCTCATTAAGTCTTTTTCTTGCGCCTAAATTTTGAATGTGACGTGTTCTGTCATTTAGCATGTAGTGAATTTGAGTTTAATGTTTAAAATTTTGACATTTTAGACTACCAGCAGAAAGTGAAACTGGAAGATCTAAATGCATGCGTAGGATTCACAAATATCATGAAACTCATTTCGGAGTCTGGTAAAATGATTGTTGGCCACAACATGCTGATGGACATTCTTCATATCCATAACACCTTCTTTGGTCCCGTGTCAGAAAGTTACGAGAATTTCAAAGCATCAATTAACTCAATTTTCCCTAAAATATGCGACACCAAAGTCTTGGCAACTACGAAACCATTCAAAACGCACATACCATACACAGGTTTAGAGACCCTTTTCAATGCAGTGTCACAAAAACCGTTCAAAAAGCCGGTTTTCAAATTTGCCGTAGGATTCGATAAGTATGACCAAGTTGGCGCAGCGCATGAAGCAGGTTACGATGCATACATGACTGGGTTCATTTTCGCTTCCCTGCTCAACTATTTAGGGTCGCTTGTAAAGCCTCCGAAGGCTCATATCCCATGTAGCAGTGAACTTGTGACACCTTTCGTGAACAAAATATTCCTGATGCGGATCTTGGATTTGTATTACATGGATCTAGAGAACGATGACGTCATTCCGCGCAGACATGATATGTTTTATCTGATGTTCCCGAAGGAGTGGAAGACTAGGGACATTGTAAAATTGTTTGAGAAGTTTGGAAACTCAATTCAGGTGAGAGAAGCTACCTTCGTTAAGGCATTTTTTCATGGGTATGAGATAGAAGATTGATTATTATCCGAAGCTTATACAGTACAGTGCTGATTTAAATTATCCGGACAAAACGAATAAAACTTGAATTTTCAAACACGTTTTTCTCAAATTGGGTTAAGATTAGACAAAAAATGAATAGAACAAAAGTTGCTTAGAATTTCATCAGAATTATTATAATGCAATTTTATCTCCGAAATTCTCAACCAAATTTTTACCCCAAAAATTCGTCATTTTGGCTTTTTTCAATTAATCAAGAATCACGCTGAAACTACTTTGTTAATTCATAAGAAATTTATATCACAAGAAGCCTCTTACACAGCCAAAAAAAAAGTTCAATGAGGGTTAAATCTCCAAAAATTTGCGCATTTTGCTCAAAATTTGTTTTTAACAAAGATTCTGGGTTTTATATAGTAAAAATAACATTTATTGACTATCAAACAAAAAGTTTTTTCTTTTTTACAGGTTTTTGGAGGTTTACCCTTAAATGAACTTTGTTGGGCTGTGTAAGAGGCTTCTTGTGATATATACTCCGCATTAATTAATTAAACAATTTCAGCGTAATTCATGATTAATTGAAAAAAACCAAAATGACCAGTTTTTGGGTTGAAATTTTGGTTGAGAATTCCGGAGAAAAAATTGCACCATATTAATTCTGATGAAATTCTAAGCAACTTTTGTTCCGTTCACTTTTTGTCTTATCTTAAACCAAATTGAGAAAAACGTGTTTAAAAATTCATATTTTGTTCGTTTTGTCCGGCTGATTTAAATCAGCACTGTAGTCATGCAATAATTATTAATATCCATAGTTTCGTAGATGATAAAAATGATCTTTTCTCCTTTTAAGAGTGGTACAGATCAAAAATGAAAGATATTGTAATTGAAACGGATAATGTTTAGAACAAATTTATTTGGGCTTCTGAGAAGTATACAATGAGGACTTATTAATTTTTTGTTATTAAAATAAATGAATTAAAAATTCAAAAATGAGAAAAACACATAAAAATGGGGGAAAATCATTTTATGCCCAAAGTTTGTTTGTTTTTCCCCACTAAACCTCGGTTGAATTAGGTTAACAACTACAAAGATGAGGTAAATGTAGCCAAAATAGTTTAAAAGTTGCCTATTTAATGGAGAGCACAGTATCTCATCCTGTCATTTGTAAATTCCGCGTCATTAAGTCTGATAATAAATAAAAGATCAGTTTTTGCAACAGTTTGTGGGGTGTGATTAGAACAAAAGCAATGCGAGGTGATAAGTTTTCTTCATTGATTGATAATTGCTCGTGTCTGCTTAGGTCAACTGGATAAATGATGTATCGTGTTTTGTCAAAGTGGAAGGTATGCGGGACCCAGCTACAACCATCCTGAAAACAGTCGCGCTTGCAGCTGCTGGAGCTGAAAACTTCTCAATATGTACATTTGATGAGTACCATGAAAAGTTTGAAGATAACGGAGAGGCTAACGAAGAGGCAACGCAGCCTGAAATTAGTACGAGTAAAAATGGAGTTGGTGACAGTATTCGTAAGCTGAGTGCGACTCAAAAACGCGCCTCAGAAGAAGCGGCTCAAGATTTGGGAGAGGAAATAGACCCCGAGACTTTGATGCCGAAAGACAAGAAAGTCAGAACCAAGTGACTGGCATCTAATGAATGACTGATTTGCACTTGTTTTTGCAATATTTTATCTCCTGTTTAGAACAGTTGTTATAAATTGAGATTGAATTAGATTGTCTTTTCTCGCAAAGAATGCTTATTACCCTTGCGATAAGCAAGGGTATAGCAATGAGGTACTAGACTTTTTTCCCATAAACAACTTTGTACACAGGACTCACTTCCTTGAAAGACTCACGACCTTTTCATCTGGACTCATTTCCTTAAAGCCTCTTAGCAACCAATTTGTGATTTTGTCGTTTGTGATTTTGTTAATCTTAATATTTTTAAAGCAGTCTTCAATTTTTTGAATTTTCTTATTTTTATTTTCGTTTTTGCGGCTTTATAAGTTTCGGCCTATATTATAAAGGCCGAAACTTCTTCTGAATTCTTCCATATTTGGGAGATGACGTTAAGAGAAAAAGAGCGATTGATAATGTGTTTTAAAAATCTAATTGCTAGCGGGCCAAGATGTTTGAGATGAGCCGTGCAGAGATCGTCTGGTCCGAAGGCTTTCGAAAATTTCATCAGTTTAATACGGTTTTCCACTTCGAGTGGTATAAAGCTGAAAGAATAAGCTAAGCTAAGTTTGAGAATTTTGGTCTTAATTACTCTTTGGGCTTTGTTGCTTTAATGTATTCTTAGCTTGGTGTAATGTGCATTAAAAGCGTTTGCAAAGCCTTTCGCCTTCAAAACCTTTCTGTCATTAAAACTGATAGGATGGGTCCCACTACAGACTTCGAGCCATTCAACGATCTAACCATTTTCCAGAGTTTACTAGACGACGTGTGATGACTAAAAGGAATTCTCACCTTTTCTTCTCTTTTTCTTTGTCCGTTTTGGATATGTTTTCTTTCTAGATTGTTTAAAAGAGGATCGGAACGATTTAAAAATCGGATACTGTCTTGTTTTTTTCGTTGTTTCGTCATTTAGGGCAAAAACAAAGAAAAGATGACGGGCTAGAGGAACGTGGTCACGAAAAATCACGCTCAGCGGCATTAACGTCTAGTTGTATTGGTTTCTTTACAATAGTAACATCAATTTCTTTTTCCGCTTTATTAAATGTTTTAAAAGTTTTTGAGGCGGACTTTGGTATATTGGTTAGGTGGCCTAATTTTGTTTCATTTGACAAGCGAATAAGGTTTGTGTGTTTCTCGAGGGTGATCGGGACTTAGATCGTTTTTGATAAGGCCTTGATGAATTTTTTTAGCTTTAAGGGTTTCCTCTAGCTTAAAAGTGTTTTCGGTTATGTTACCGCTCCGTTTATTATCATTCGATGCGAATTTTACATTCTATTGTTTTGGCTGATTTTTTGTTTCGAAACTAGCCCTATTCATTTTGATAGATCTAGTTTTTTCGACATTCGAGATTTTTTTGTCTTTGCAATTGGTACGAAGCTCAGCTTCGCCTCTGTGTTCTAAATTTGTGACCATACTTAGAGAATATTCTAGGAGTTTTTTTGATGGGGGAGGTGGTCTGTGGAAACATGCAGATTTAAGAAAGATGGGGTTACCCTATTCTCCTCCAAAATATACTATTTCAATGAGGATGTTTATAAGTTGTTTATTTGCGTGATTAAAATTGTTGTTAGCGGCAATGTTCTAAGTTTGGCTCTATTTTCTGTTAATTATTGGGTCAATATTTGACATTAGTACGGCTTCACAGGTGAAAATTGGGATTCTGACGTGTTAGCATTAAAACTGAAACCCTAAACTACACCCTCGTTAGCAAGCAACAGCGGGTAAAGTTTTTTAAATTTTAAATTATTTTTTGAATTGAGTTATTTAAACTGAATTTGAAGTTTTGGTATTTTTGGGCCGATATTTTCTGTTTATTATTTGGCCAATACTCGACATAAGTGCGGCTTCACTGGTGAAAATTTGGATTTTTTCGTTTGATCATAACTGATGCTTGATGCTGCATATGTTAACTCATCTTCAGATTGAGATGGACGATTTCTTTGACGATTTGCAGCAGACTCCCCGCAACAACATCTCTTCGTCTGAGAGTAAACCAGAATCAGAGAATATGAACAGTCAGGATGCATCTCAATCACAAGGTACAAGTGTAATCACAAATAGCGAAGGCCTTCATAGTGAAATTACAAATGTAGACGAGAAGTCCTTGAAACGGGAGGACTGTAAAGTGAAAGACATCAATGCTATCAAAGAGATGCTGAGTGAAATGGGGGTGACGCATTATGAACCAGAAGTAGTGGACGGTTTGTTGGAATACGCCTATAAATTCATGCACAGTGTGGTGGACGATGCTAGATTGTACAGCAGACACGCGAAGAAGACTGAAGTAGATGTGAGTGATGTGAAGTTGGCGCTTCAGTTGAGAGCAGGTCAGGATGTGGTGCAGCCGATTCCACGGGAACTGATGGCTGAGGTGGCGAAAAAGAAGAATGCTGTGCCCTTGCCACAGGTCAAAAGTGGAGTGGGGTTGCGGCTGCCAACGGACAGATATTGTCTCACACAGCCGAACTATAAATTGAAGTAAGCTCGAGAGATGAAACGAAATTGTTGGTCGGAAAAAAGGGATAATGCAATTTTTATTTGTCAGGATCCCTGAAAATTATCTTTGAGATTAAAATTCTGCTTAGTGCTTTATCTCTGAAATGTCGGCTCCGTGAAGAAAAAGCGATGAATTAAACATATAGATTCGGAAAAAAATTAAATTTTTGAAAATACTCAGAAAAAAATCTTTTTAAGATTCTGGAACCTGATCTAAACTACATTTTATGATTGGATAAATTAGATATTTTACCAATGTAAAGTATTTAATATTAACCAATCATGATCCATCTAACTAACAATCCACTTATTTGTAAGTGCTGAAATTACTTGTAATTTCAGCACCAGAGAGATTTGAATTTAACTTAGAAATTAGTTGAACTCTCCCGAGTACTTCAGCAGCCGCAATAAACCAGTATACCCTAGATCTATTGAGCCTAGCAGAGACTAGTTAAACAACCTGAGACTAGATAGTATAAGAGTAAGATTAGGATCGGTATTAGACTAAGAAGTTGCACGAATCTATCCGGCCGAAAATAAGATAGCGTGACGAGCAGACGGTGTACCCTATCCGAAATTACTCTATGAGTTATACCCATCGAACATAACTCATCTGGTGCGACCATACGTCTCGAACAAGACCTTAATAGCTTAGCATTAACCAATAATAGATTAGAATTTAGACAAAACATTTACAAAATGTTATACGACAATAATTTAATCGAAATGTCTCTACGACTCAATAGATCAGAGCCAATATTCCGAACGATAACAGAACTACCCGGAATTGGAAGAAGACCTCGAACCAGAGACGACATACGACAAAGCAGAAACTTACCATATAGTTATATGATAGTTCGGCAAAAGCCAGAACAAACTTTTGTATTTAGAATACTACTAGCAATGAATTTAGATTTTCATTTGCAAACATAAAATTTTGAAGTCAATCTTCAAAATCATTTCAGGCGCTAAACAAAATTATTAATATACAATAACGATTGATAAAAAGATCTCAGATCGTTTTCCAAAATTCTGCAGTAATATACAAAACATGTTTGAAAAATATTTATTGAAAAATCAAAATAAAAATTAGTAGCATGACAATAAATGATTAGTAATTATAAATCATCCTGTTGTTCCAGCTTCATCGCCTAAACATAACAGCAATCATAAGCTCACTAATATCATAAAAATACTAAATCTATTCTTTACACAAATTTAAAACATTTTAAACTTAAATTCACTTAATTTTAAAATCAGATCATCAAGGCTTATCCTTGGATCTTAAATCATTTTCTATTTAATTAAATTTAAAACTTGATCATCAAGGCCTATCCTTGGATCAAAAAGAACAACTTTGTTCTCCCCCACCCACTAAACGAGTGTCTAACGACCTCAAACGTCGATTCACTATCCAACCCTTTCTAAAAACCCAGGACTAATAGAAATTTTTGAACAAAACTAATCATTCAAATTAGGATAAACAGTGAAGAACTTCGGTTATTCATCCTTCACTTGATCCCCCCTCTTACCAGACCCAGGATAAATCTTAGACTTAGTAAGTTTAAAATAGTATCTAACGAACTACTCGCGTTCTAATTATACCTGAACCCTGTGGATCGATTTACTATTCTCCAACCCTGAACACAATCACTACCCTTAAGTAAGATTAAGTAAGTTAACATCTTAGCTTATACTAGCCACGAGAAAGTATAAAATCATTCTTCGGAATCGATATACTTTTCTCCCCAACCCTGAACAAATAGACCCAGGTTAGGCTAACAAAAAAATCGTAAGGACTAACAGTTTAAGCAAATAGAAATCATTTAACAACTTTTTGCATCCGTCATCCTAAACCTTATGTCATTTAAAAACCTAGGAAATAAACAAACAATCGTTTTACACAATTGTGAAATAAATAACAAAAAATACGACCTTGTAATCACACCTCATACACAAACAGTTGGATACATTAGAACAAAACGACAAACATTAAAGAGAAAAATAATAACTAAACAAAGACAGATAACACGAAAAAGATTTTCAAAAAATCGAAACGCATTTTCAGAATCAGAAACCAACAGTTTAGACGAACTTTATAAACTAAAAGAATCAATAGATAAAAATTGCCCAATTCACGATCAATTATATTTCTCTGACTCAGAAACAACTTCAAATTCATCAAAAAGAGGAAAAAGAAGAATAAAAAAGCAGTATAAACACAAACCAGTACATTTATACAATTGGAATCAACCAATTAGACACATTGATAATTACATATTAACAGTCATCGAACGAAAAAATGAGCTCAACGCACACCCCAGGTGAAGAAAGTCCAGATGATGATGATATTTTCCCCTTTATCGTAGATGCAACCACTGATAGAGGACAGCATATATTCTGCAAAAATTTACTCTTAAATTTGTTTGAACCCGGAATCAGTCCATGTAAAACAGAGTTCCCAGATGTAAAAATCAAAAGACAAATTATCGATCACTATCTAAAAGATATATGTAACCTAACACAACAATACGGAATCTACTCCATAGAATTCAGCTCACCAAACCAGAATCACAGTAAATATATAATTCAAACAGACGACCTTGATTTAGAATTCTCAAAAGTATTCTCAGAATATATAAAAAGCATCCAATATCATAACTCACAAAGAGCAAACTCCATATTCACCAATGAAGTTTTTGCGATAATATATAGTTATATCTCGATATTAGAAAACGAAATCCAGATACCAAATGTCTCACCGACAGAAACATCTAAACATATAAGAGTACGACATGAAATCACACTACTCTCTAGTTTTCTAAATATAATTAAAGAAAATTTCACGAAAGATGAAGTTTCACAACATACAAAACACGACTTACAAAAAATCTTGGCATGGTTCATAATAGATTATTTCACACATAATATTGATTTAATTTCACAAGCAAGAAAAAATTTTAGACCCCAAAACTCAAACGATGATACTGCCATCACAGAACAATCAGACTATGTTTGGGACCCCGAATGGTCTCATCCCGCATTCATAAACTTCCCACAATCAATCTCAAGTCAAGCAATAAGTACGATATCTTATGTAAGAGATTATGTACGAGTAATACCATTAACCATTGATGCAACACCATTAAACTATAATACATTTTTACCCGATATGCAAAATAATAGTTTAAACTCTACAGTCATACACAATGAAAACCTCAATGGAACTAGGAATCTTACTCAACAAGATATCCAGACACCATCACACTTCATAAATGAAGAAATCGTACACACAACAACTACACAACAAAGTATTTCACCAATACGTCCAAACTTAACAACACCAAGAAATACAAATTCTTCACAAACACAGGTAACATTACAATCAACCGTTAAACCTTCGGTTGCTCCAAAATATTCACACATGGATTACCAAACATACAGACCCATGACAATACCGCCAAAAACACGCAAAACGTTCACTAGAAACAACTTTGCAGACCATAATTATAATTACACACATCCATCAAAAACAAATTATCAACCACGAAAAAATTTTAGTAATTATACAAGATCTCGAAACTGGGATAACCCAATGGCACCACCTAATTCAGTAAATTTCCAAACAAATTTACATCCTCCACAGGATCGTAGTGAAAACTATCCATTTTTTCAACAAAATAAAAATAAAAAACAAACATCTTATCAAATGGATTACTTATCCTCAGATGATGATTTCTTACAACCAGATATATTTACACCCTATAATCAAGAATATCGTGGACAAGGAATACAGAAACCACATACATATCATAGAATTTTTTCTCCACAACCAATAGATACACAAATTCAACAACCAATTCAACAACAAAACCCAATTAATAAATCTTTTCAACCAATTCAGCAACAACACCCAATGATTGCAAACTCGTACCAACCAGCACAAATGCAAAATGAAATACCACTCCCATATTATCTTCAACAACACGAAATAACAAGAAATCAACTTTCAAATTTTTCTCAAATGCCAAATGCAGCAGAATCATTACAAATGACGATGAATCCATACCTTATGGGTGGATCATCAATAACATCAAATAAACCTTTAATGGTATTCACAGGAACAGACCCTGAATATTCTGTAGAAGACTATTTAAATGCAGTCACAGCAAATTTGATTTTAAATATAGGACCTGAACCAATTAATACGCCACTACATCAAAACTGGATACATCGACGCACAGCGTTAATACAAACAACTCTAGATGGCGCAGCCCAAAAATGGTTTTCAGTATTGCCTATAGAAATAAAATCAAATTGGAAAAGATTTACACAAGAATTTTCAAAAATGTTTGACTCCGAAAGGAACAAACAACAACAAAGAGTTTTATGTAATGAAATTCGCAGATTACCAAACGAAACCATCAAGCAATTAGCAGTACGAATCGAAACACTAGTTCGAAAAGCATATTCATTAAATACACATGACTATAAAAACACAAAGATGACAGAAATCTTAATGATGACCTTAACACCACAATTAAGGAAAATAGCAATAAAAAAGAGAGCATCCCATCCTTCGTCAATTCGAGAACCCGATTTAGATTTTCGAAAACTAGTAGACAAACTAGAACAAGCAGAAATCACAATGAAACTCGAAGAAACGGAAAATCTGAAATTACAATACGTTAACAGAATTGAAACAGCTTCCACAAATATAAACAATATACAGGAATCAGATACAGATCTCGTTGAAAAAATCACTGAAATACTCAATATTTACGAAAAACACCCAAACTTTAAAGGCAAACCATCTTTCAAAAAATGGTGTAATTATTGCCGACGATACGGACATAGTATTTCTGAATGTAGACAAAAACAGCAAGACAATCAAAATAAACCTCAAAAATATAAAGAACCAAATAAATCATTCTATCAATACATGAAAAAAGATCAAAATCTACCGAACAAAACAGTCTACAGCAACAACAGTTCAGGAAAACCACTCCCGAACAATACAAATTATACAAGAAATCAATCACCATATAACTCAAGTTATAGAGGAAGATCACCAGAACGAAGAAACACGCATAATTCATCACAAAATCACTACAATAGACCAACTAGTCGAAATAACTACTCCAGATCACATTCAAATACACAACGATTTGTTTCTAGATCTAATTCCCAATCAAGAAATAATTATTATCCAAACAATCAATCACGAAATTCATCATACAATAGGAATAGAAACTACTCAAATAATCGGAATAGAAGTTATTCAAACAACCGAAACCAGAATTACCCGAACAATCAATCAAGGAATAACTCATATAATAGATCGAACTATAACAGACCAAACAATAATTACCAAAACAGATCGCAAAATAATTCACAAAATCGACACTCAAGTTATAATAATCGTTATAGAAATTATTCCCAATCACCACACCGGAATAATAATAACTATAATAATTCTAATAATCGCCACAGAAGTAGTACACCTAAACATCAAAGACATATTAATCAAGTACAATCTAATCCAGAAACAACATCAGACCCTCCAGGTATTGATGACACAGTAACTGATACGTTACAACTCAACCAAATAAACTGTGGATCATCAGATTCAGAAAGCGATGCAGAAAACACTCTCTCCATCAACATGATAAAAGTCGAAAATGACTATGAACCTGTTATATATGAAGAACCTTTTTCATCACACATATATGAGAATCAATCAGAACTCCTTCACAATAATTATATTGAACCCGTCCATTCCACACCGACGACACAAAAAACTAATGAAATTAACACTACAAACCAACCCAATGAGAAAGAAAAAACAAAATGCTTGAATACAAATCACATCTATCAAAACATACAAAAAGAACAACCCAAAGAAAAAATTTGGACAATACCATTTCTTTTGGAAAGTCCAAAAAGCAAAGAATTTCAACCACCAGATCTTGAAATTGATTTTTTAATCGATTCAGGAGCAGAATCAAATATAATAAACATTCCCACATGGAATGAAATAAAAACCTTACACCCAAAGCTAACACCTCTTGAAACCTCCAGCAAACTAGCAACAGCACAAGGATCAACATTAATAAACTACGGAAAAATTCAATTATTTCTTCTCCCCACAAGAACAATGGAGCAAAACAAAATTTTAACCAAACCATTTAAACAAATATTCCATATCACTGATATTAAACATAATATCATTGGAATACCATTTATCTCTAAATATATACCAACAATCAACATCTTGAATAGTAAAATATTAATCAAAGATAAATATACAAAAACAAAAGACACATCCCTAACATTTTTTCAAAGATTAAATAAACAACCACCATTTTTTTCAAAATTTTACCCAATATATAACCAACAAAGAAAACACTTGAAACCACTATCAGGAAACATCTATAATTTTTCAATCAAACAAGTTCACCAATATGATAAAAAACAAAACAAACAAAAATTTTATATGTCAGATTTTGAATTCAAACCTATTCATAAGTTTTTCAAAATCACCATCTCATCAATAAAATATTTGAAAAACTCGAATTCAGATATTATTTCCTTACATGTATACAACAATACACCTTACCAAGTAACATTACCTTTAGGACTTTTAGGCTATTGCGAAACCAACGCTACAATATTACCAATACACGAAAAAGCATATCGTGTAAAAATATACTCCAATTACTAGATATTTGCCAATCCACAATCCTTAATGAAGAATTATCTATAAATAATATAATAAGTAACGAAAACAGAAATACGGATTATTTCACAAAAACCCCATATTTCAAACCTACATTCAACATAAGTAACTACACAGAGAATCAACAGAAATTTTTAACAATGTTTAATTTCCAACATTCACAAATAACACAAGACGAATTTGAAAAACTAAACAAAACTAACCAATGCAGTAAATTAATTTATAAATTTTTCCCCCACCAGCAGTAAATCTAATAATGATGAAAATTTGTAACTTAATTTCCCCCAACAACTAGCAGTAAAATTAAAATTCTATGTAGTAAATTCATAAGAAGCAAAAGCAGTACTAACCTTTTGATATTTTCATTCACTCGCATAAAAATTCTATCCAAACTCGCACAGCTCGCCCACGAAGAATTGTTTAAAGTAATGAATTTCAGTTCCAAGCTTTCACACTCGATAACTCTAACACAAGATAACATGTTTCAAACTTTACTTTAACCCGGTTGGAAAGGAATTATATACTAAACAAAACTAACCAATGCAGCTTACTAAACACCACAACACATAGCATAACAGCATGACTAAGAAAAGGAAACCAACGGTACCCAAACCGGATTAACCCACTTTAAAACTGGATAATTTATTCTTTTGAAGACTATTATAAAGTCTAAGAAAGAAATAATAAAACACAAAAAAGTCGAAAGACAAACCCATACCACAAACAATTTGATTTTTGAAAAAAGGACACAACCAACAAAACATAAGAAAAACCACAACAAACCCAACATAAAACGTTGTCACATAACAGGACCTCTCACAAAAACCGCATGCAATCATACTCCCACTCCTGGCCTAACCCACCAGGAAGGACGTCCTGGGCATGCTCTATAGCCGGCCTAACCCACCGTGCTACATCCACGCTTTGTGACCACACTCCTATTTTTAATAAGAGCTACTCAAGGGTGAGTAACTCTTCAAAATAACTGAACTAAAACAAAAAGCTTTTGTGAAAACAACTAACTAAAATCATAATTAAAAAATATTAAACTAATAAAAGTTTTATAAAATGTAAATTACATTATGCAATACATAGATCAGAATACAACACCAAGGACGAACATCCAAAGACAAAACGACCCTACTACACTCGAGAAAGAATGGCCAACTACAATCAATATGCCGCCCACAATCACAACTCAAAGGATTTAGAGTACGACTTGACTTCGCAGAAAAGGACTTCATTGAACTAGACCAATGACCACCTCGATGTTCAAGTATACGTACAGATCCGAGTAACCAGGCATCCCCTCCACGCACAATCTCCACGCCATTCCCAGACAAGGTCAAACACAAAGAAGTTCTCACCAATGAAACAGAAAAACCTGACATAGCCAACCATTCTGAAATCAGATTTGAGTTTGTTGCGAAAACCCAGTCGTTGTCTTGAGAAGACACAATGATTGAATCTGGGACTTCTCTAATAAGAAAACCCAGAAGAAATAAGATGTTCGCCAAATACCAACGTCCATCATCCATCTTTCGAATTGCAGAAAAACTATTCTAAAAAACTCTGTAAAACCCGGATGGGTGGAACCTGATCTAAACTACATTTTATGATTGGATAAATTAGATATTTTACCAATGTAAAGTATTTAATATTAACCAATCATGATCCATCTAACTAACAATCCACTTATTTGTAAGTGCTGAAATTACTTGTAATTTCAGCACCAGAGAGATTTGAATTTAACTTAGAAATTAGTTGAACTCTCCCGAGTACTTCAGCAGCCGCAATAAACCAGTATACCCTAGATCTATTGAGCCTAGCAGAGACTAGTTAAACAACCTGAGACTAGATAGTATAAGAGTAAGATTAGGATCGGTATTAGACTAAGAAGTTGCACGAATCTATCCGGCCGAAAATAAGATAGCGTGACGAGCAGACGGTGTACCCTATCCGAAATTACTCTATGAGTTATACCCATCGAACATAACTCAATTCAGAAAAATTTCGAAATTTGATAAAGAAAAGTTTGATTCAGCCTCAAGTTAAGAAACAACTTAACTAAATATAAAGAGTTGTTTAGTTTATTTCAAAGTTTTTTTTTAAAATTAAGAGGTTCCCCGGTTAAGTAAAAAAAAATTCTAATGTGTAACTCATGAACTGTTTCTGAGGGATCTATTGGAGACATAGTTTGATGGCTAAATAAATTTAGGTTGATGAACTGAATATGACTCTTTTGTTCAGACCATCCACAAGTCTCTCGGCAGGTCGTGGTGAGCTAACCAAACCATACAGCCGACAACAGCAATTCAGACAACAATCTCAATCTACCAACTCAGAGTACGCAAAATCATACCGCCCAATGAATTTCCAGTCGCCCCACAAACCCATGACTAATCAGACTGTCAATGTTACTCCACAGACACGTCATCAGTTTATAAACAGTAATACAAACTTGAGTCTAAATCAGTCCCCACACCAGATTGTCACTACAGTTGTGCAAAGGCCTTCTTCTCAACATCAACAATTGGTTCAGAGCCAACCAGTGCATTTTCAACAGCATATGTCGGGCTATGCGGGCAATAACCCAAGATGAAGTAATGAACTGATTGAAAACTATATTTATGAAAATTGATTTTTTGAACATAGCTACAATGAACATTTTTGAAGTTTATTTTTTTTGCTTTTATGACGCAAGAGGTTTATCGTTCCATGTGCATGATAAAGAGTCATGAACGCAGTGAATACGCTTATATAGGTCTTGGTGATTTTTTTCGGGATCAAATTTGTTCATGCTAAAATTTTATTTTTTTTTGTTTTGAATTCTTTTCAAGTTCACTTCATTTCCTTTGTTGAAAGAACGGTAATCTTCCCGAAAAGCAAAAGTGTAAAAGTCTCGAAAAACAAGATCGAATTTTAGTTTTGAAAGTGAAATTTAATTTATAGATTTCCCAGCGGAATATAAAGTTTACCTATTGATCCAGTTTTATCAAATTGGGTTAATTTTAACAGAAAAGCGCCAATCATAAATTGTTCTAGAAATTCAAAGAGCGTAAAGGGCATCTATTTTTTTCTTTGAAATTCGAAAGTTGAGATGTTTTTAAGAAAGTCAGTGCTTTTATGTTTACTTGCGTTCATTAGTCTTTGCCAATCTTTGGTTTGCTATGTTTTAATTTATCAATCAAACTGAAAAAAAAACTATTTGTTTCATACAACAGTATAATGGTTTAAATACGATTTCAGAAAATTTTCAACTCGAGAAACTTCGAGATTTTTAAAACACATCATTTATACGCAATTTCGTTTAACACATTCTATTTTGTCACATGCAAAGTTAGTGTGGTTGCCTTTATTTTATAGCATTCCAAATTATTATATGCAAATTTGAGTTTTTGTGCATTTTAAAGTTCCGATATCTTTGCCGCTTTATCGCTAGTCTTTGCGAAGCGCAACATCGCCTGTGTTAAATTTAGTGGCTTATTTGCCGCATAGCATTGGTATTTTATTAGCATTTATAGCTGCATCATTGGTGGCTAGTAAGCAAGCTTGCAACGGCCCGTGGAGCAGATCAATAATCTGAGACTCCAAATCTCTACGTCGTAGGATTAGTTTTACTAATTCGAGGCTTATTTTTACTTTTTCTTATTGCACTTTATAGAGCTGTTTTTTATTCTGTCATAGAGCTTTCGTTTTCCGCTAGTGTTAGAGAAGTGCAGCATCGCCTCTGTATTTAAAACTATAAGGAAATTTTTCTTCTGAGTTTTCAAGTTTTCTTTTTAATTCGAAAACGGAGTTCTACAGACCAAGTTGTGATTGAAGTTTTTCATTTCTACTTTTTTATTTTTTGTTGGGTATTTTTTGTTCTTGTTTGGAGCACTTGTTTAACAAAACGCGATCTTGAATTTACTGTTGTTTTTTATGCGCAAACTGTTTGTTGGTCGTGTGTTTTAGACAAAGTGTCCAGTTTTCTTTAATTAGGTTAATTTTATCAAAAAAAAAATCCATCATGAAATATTGCGCAATTTGAAAGAGCTTTAAGGTGGTATATATTTTTTAAATCTCCGAAATTGAAGTTGAATTTCCCTTAATCTCCTTGAAATCATTGACATGTTAAAACACGATTATCAACTAACTACTTGTTTTTTTTGCGGCAGTGAACGAAATGAAGACTTTTATGTCTTATATGACTTTTATGACTTTTTGGTCTTATTTGTTTTGAAAAGGAAGTCTTTTATGTAATGCTGTGCGGCATTCCTTTTGCGCTGTCTACTTACAAAATGCAATTGGTGCATAAATTGTTTTTGAATTTCAATTTCGAACGTCGATTTTCGTATTCATTCACCACAAAATGGCGTTGATTGTATTAAAAATGTTTTTTATTTGTTAAATTCCAAAGTTGAAAAAAAGTTCCAACATCTATGTCATTGTTTAGGTTTCCTTATGTTCGTTTTTTAAATTTTTTCCACTTTCTCGCGGCGATGTTTTCAGGCGATGTTTCCAGACTTTTTGGTAGATTTTTATAAGAGTCTTGTTGAAAGAAATAACTTTCAAATTAATTAGTATAATTGTGGATAATCCGGTTTCATAATTTTCATGGTTTGATTTCTCAAACAATGGGGCGTTTTTTACACAATTAATCCACTTTTTTGCCAACGCTTGTAGCACAAAATTAAATGCAAAATTTGTGCTGTAACGTTTTTCTGAAAGCGGTTTTATGCTATATCCGTTCTTTGAAAACGTTTTATGAAAGCAAATTGCAGCCTGATATCTAATAGTATGCTTAGTAGTAGTAGAAAACAAAACGCCGAAACCAGGTGGTTGAGGTAAGTGAATTTTACGAGGTAGGTACGATTGAATCTTGTAGTCTTGGAGGTTCAATTATTTGTAGAGCTTCTCTCAATGTTAATATCTGTATTTTATGCATATAATTTTTTATTTTGACTTATTTAGAGTTCCTTCTAGCTTTTTCGTGTTTTTGAAGTGCAGCTTTGACTTTGTGTTGGTTGAGTTTTGTGGTAACCTTTGAGCCACCTTTTGTGGTACTCCTCCTTTTAAGCTATGTCGTGTTTGATACTATTGTCTTCTTTGACCGCAGGTGTTTTATTGTTCCGACCATTGAAAATGGGGAGGAAGTTTGTATTCGGGTGCGCTTAAGTTTTTATTTTCCACACAAAAACAGGTACCACAAGTAAAACAGAGGCGAAGCAGAGCTTCGCACCACTTGCGATACACAAAGCCACCGAATCGAATAAAAAATTGAGAAAACGCCAAAAAATACCCGAAAATTTCAAATGTTTGTTTTAAACTGAAACTCATTTTGATGAAAAGCTGTGGCAGACGACAACAGCCAGATTTGAACTAGCCTGAAAAACTTCGAATAAAGTTACCCACTGCGCTACAATATAGTCAGTGGAAAAAGACACAAGTAAAAAAGAAAAATAATGTTGATAAAAATTACTCAAAAAAGTTAGAAAAACTACAACTACAAAAATATCTTGCTTGTATCGGATGAAATTCATAAACAGCCTTAAAAATCATGAGCGGGAACAAAGGCGTCAAGTTTTGGGTCGAAACTTGTTGAGCCAGAAATAAAACTTGTCATAAAAAATTGCATGAACTTCTTGAAGTTGTTACGACCCATCCATACTGAAGCACATAATCCTATACATATATGTTTTCCCTGGAAATTACGCAACATAAAATGACTCAGCCGAAATAACAACTGTTTAAATATTTAAAAAACCAAAATAAATGAAAAAAAAATTAAGCTAAATCAGACTTGGTAAAGTTACATTTACTGGACTTAAAGTTACAGTAAAAAACTGTTTAAGCCAGGACGAAAACCACGAACCTTTTTGAAAAGTTAATTACAACTTGAAATAGTCTTTAAGCTAATTACTACGTAAGTTATGGCAGGTTTTTGAATTTCGAGAATTAGAGCATGTTGGAAGTGATATCTACGATTCCGAATAAACGACCATTCTGTGAACCAAGTTATTACGGGAAAAAGTCTGGTACCCGATTGCAATACTCTTGCTCAGATTAAATATCAAAATAGTTCGACTGATGTATCCTATTGAAGCGTTTTCAGTCGTGATTCGAACGACATTAAGGCATGAAAACAATTTCAGTGTCGAAAAAAATCAAAACTGTTTTAGTCTGAAATCGAGCGAGTAACATGAAAATCGTTAATTTATGAAAATTTGTTTTTTAGACCTTAAGGATAAAAAACTTGATTTTAGTATAAATAAAACTAATTTTAGAAGTTTCTTTTAGCGCCTATTTGTCAATTCAGGCTATGATAATAAAAAATTAAAATTATTGTGCAAAAAACTAAAATTATTTTTTTTTCATTTGTTTTTTATTCATTTTAAGACAAATGCTGTCGATCATGCCTAATTAACCTAACCTGTTTTCTACATACTCATAAGCAAAAGAAACATTTTTTCATTTTCTTTTATGAGTTCTTTTAGGAACAGTTTTTGCTACTTGCACAGTAACCGTCTATCCCTATTCAATTTTCAATTTGTCTGATTCTGAAGAAAACAATTATTTTCAACTGAATTATTCTTCTGTAGCATTTGGTTTTCAAAGTTATAGTTTTGCTATTTTTAGGTAATTGTTACTAAAAGGAAAATCACAATAGCATTTCGTGCCGTTTCAATAATTTAAAACATGGCTATTTAGCTTTGAGCTAAAACTTACCATATGTATTTTTGTCTTCATATTTTTATTATACGTGTTATTTTCATACCAATAGCTTACATGTCATCTTTCGATGCACAAAAATGCAAATCAGAAAGCGACATCGACTCAATAACGAAAAATTCAACAGTTTAGCGTATACAAAGTTTGTGCCTATTATCGAATTTCCGAAGTTCAAATGCTGAAATGAGGGTGGTTAATTGTGTTCTATCTTTGGAAATATTTCAACAGACTGTTGCTTGTGAAATATTGTGACCACTGCCTGACTTGTGTACTTACTATCAAAAGCTCAATTAAATATGTACATTATTTATGTACCGGATTACGAACGCGTCCAAGGTTTGTGAAATTAAGGTTTGGATCAAGATTTAGAACATTACACTTACATCGTTGAAATTACGAACTACTCTTTACGAACTGATCTAATCAGAAACCCAATGTTTGTGAAGTTAACTGTTAGACGTCATAGCAAAAGAAAATTTGGATATTTTATGATCTAGCGCCTGCACAACGGCTTGATTTTCAGTAGAAGTTAGTTTCAAATTCATAGATAAAAGCAATTTGCAAATAGCTTTTACTCGACTTGTTTTTTTATTTCGCTTATTTGCACAAGCAGTATTTGTGTTATTCAGATATTTTACCTTACGCGTTATTGTCTTACCATTAGTACAGATGGCTTCTTCCGATGCAAAAAAGAATGTGAAGTACTTTGTGCCAGGAGGTTACAGTGTTCTCGATTTCAGCTCCATGTGCGATTGGTACATGAACACTTATTTCCCTAGATGGAAAGATAGTGGCGTGAATTTAGTCCCCCCTTTGCCGGAACACATGCCTCTAGAACCTCCTGAGGCCGCATCTGGGGGTGCAAGAAGGAAAAGCACGGGAAAGAAACAGTACTTTAACTTTAGAACGGGTCAGAAATCACAAATCGATGAGTACAATGTTGTTAAACTGATTCAAAAATATGCAACGGAAAACGATTTGGCCATGTTTATATTTCATGGGTTAAAAATGGATCAGCAAAGATGGAAACTGATGCAGTTTGTTATCCGTAACGAGCTCACTGCCGATGTCTGGGATGACCTGAAGGTTTCGTGCGATTTTGATGAGAAGCTTAACCTGCCTTGTAATCTTGAAATTGACTTGGTGACTTTGGATCCTCAAAACGGATTGATTTTGTGGGAAGTTAAAAGCAGAGATTTTGGAGTGGAAGGTTCAGCAAATCTGAACAAAATAGGCAGTGCTGTGAAACAATTGAAGAAAGATAAATTGTTTATTACATGGCTGGCGAAATGGTTTACATCATTACACGAACTGGAATTAGAGGTTAAGCAAGTTGTTGTACTGCCGGATGATACAATTACTAGTGAACAAAATGATAATTTTGGAAATCTGCGACAGGATTACAACATACTCGATAAAGAGAATCTGGCCGATATGAGAAAGTTTTTTGAGAAAGTGCGAACCGATTACCCATCTGCTGCTAACGTGAAATCAGGTGTGTACACATTCTTTTCACTTGCAAGTGCAAGTGACTTGTAATCAGGAGCTAGATTTTTTCAAGTGAGCAAAGCGACAGGTATCAATTTCGAGTCCCGGTCTGACCTTGTTTTCTTTCCCACAATGTATCTACTTATCTATTCATACCTTGGAACATCGGCACATTTCAGGTCCCTTCCCACTTGGGGGAGAGTAAGTTCTTGAGTTCCATCATCGGCCTAAGATCAGTTTACTTAAGATCTGTAAGAAATTGACCTTGATCTATCATCGAACCTCAATAATATTCAGAACCTTCTCACTTGTTCTAAAGGTTGAGCACACTTCTTCTGATTATATGGTCTAGGTTTGAAACGCGACCGGACCTTTTTTCGATCTGCGAAGTTTTTGGAAAACTCGATTCGTCGGATTCTCGTTTGTCTATTTTTTTGTCGGTTTACTGCCAAAAGCAGGGAATTTCTTCAAAGCATCGATATTTCTAAAGCAGTTTCATATATAATTCAAAGTCTTTCTGTAGGTTGTAAGTTTACCAAATCTGATTTTGTATGATTTTTTTTTCATAAATGGTTCGGTTAATGCTATTTTGAATTAGTTACATCATTTTTTGTCTTCCAAAAGCAAAAATAGAGTGGTATGCTTTTTAAAATTTCGAAGAACGGGGCAAATATCAGTGAAATGAAAAATGGTAAAATAAATGCTTTTTCTACATTTTGTTAGTTAAATCAGTTTTAGTAGCTCAGCTCAAATATTTTTGCTTACGGGAGCAAGTGATTTGGAGTCTAGGCTAAGTTCGGTAAACAACTTTCTTACAAATTCTGCCGACATGCTCAGTTCTGACATGCTCAAAGGCTGACATGCTCAATTTCCCGAAAGTTCGAGTGAAACATGTTACTGCCTCACATGAACATTTTAATTACTACCCATTGGTTATGTGGGGTAGTAACTTTGATTGCTACCCTACATGAACATTTTAGTTCATGTGGGGTAGTGAATAATTTTTTCAAATATAATTTTTGAAAAAATGTTGATTATTTTAGATTTTGTTGTTTTCGTCGTAATTTCTGTCGGCTGATTTTCCGTTTGTTTTTTCAAATGCTAATTATATTATCTGGTAAGCTTTTCAAGCGGTTCTTTTCCAACGCTGGGTTTTTAATGTTTGATTCTAATATTTCTTTTTTAATTGAAAATTGCAGTGCTTTGTAAAATAACCAATATTTATTTTCATTATTTTTTTTGGATTTTTTCAGAATGCTTATGAACATTGTCCGAGATGAAGATATGAAATTTTTGTAGAGAGTTTCTTGGGCTTTTTCAAATTACTTTTTCAGCTCAATATTTTGAAAGAAAAGACTTCCTTCTTTTTTCTTTTCAATATCTTGTAACTTTTTTATTGTATCGCAAGTGTTTTATTGTATCGCTCTGTGTATCAAACAATTAATGCTAGTCTATTTGCATGTGCTTAAAATGATTGTTCACCCTTCATCAATTAGCTTAAAAAATGCGAGTTAATATTTTTCTAAAAAATCTATACAAAGTGCATTCCAACTTCATACACGGAACAAAACAATGGAAACATTCAAAAGGAAATAATTGATCGATGATGTCTTTTTTTTATTCAGTTTGTGAAAAACTTGATTTTTTTGAAACCAGAAAGTTTTCTTGCATGTTTTGAGCTGCGAAAGTTACACCAATTTTTTTCTCTTAGCTTTCGATATGCTCGTTCCGTCTTTGGTGGGATGTGTGGCTGCGATTTCGCAACTTCAATCGATTCCATCTCAAAAGAAACAAACCTGCCCTCAAGGCCTCGAGGCAACTTTCAGTTCAGCGCAAGCAGTCGCGAAATTGGACCGCGAAATACAACAGGAGCTTTTTTCACGGAAAGAGAATCCTTTTACAGAAGTTTTGCCCACGAAGAAAAACACTGTTTTCAAAGGTTCAAAGTTTATCAAAGTTCTTTTCTTGACTCCAAAGCAGCAGAAGGTGTTTGATTTATCTTCAACAGGGTTGAAGATAATTCAGGGACCAGCAGGTTCTGGTAAAACAATCCTTACAGTTTTCAAAGCCCTCGATGTGGCGTCAAAATGCGACGGTAAATTTCTTCTACTCTGCCGCGGAAGCTTTGCGTGGAGCTACTACGAACTGTTTACAGGAAATGGGCATAAGACGAAAATGGCAACTCGGGAAGGTATTAGTAAAAAAGGGGCCCAAAAGTTTTTTCTGGAAGCACTCGAAACTTCATATAACATCAAAGAAGATTGCCCAGATACTGTAGTGGTTGATATCAAATTGAACCCTGATAAGCTTGGAAGCAATGATGACAAGATCATTATTGGGCAAACTACTGATTTTGCCGATGATTTTTACCATAAAACGAATCTGCTCATGAAGTTGTTTCTAATAAAGAATCTCAAAATGAAGGTAAAAGACTTGAAAAAAATGAAAACTGAAATCCGTTGGCAACAAAATCTGCACATTTTTATGGATGACGGTGACTTGGCCGAAATTTTGCTGCGTTGTAAGGAAATCTTCTTTCAAGCCGACGAGGAAGAATATTTGACTTGGACAGTATTGGACCACAAGCAGAGCTCGGGTTTTAGCGCATACATAGACCAGCAGAGTTATGAACAAGTGAGGGCGCACTTTGAATCCAGCAGGACATAACTGCTCGTTTTGCAAGAAGTGCTACGTAACTCAGTAGAAATTCACAATTTTAACATGGCGTTGATACAACAAATTTCAAGTTTGAATCATGTGATCCACACCGAAAAACCTGGAAATGCGTTGGCTATTGCCGCTCCTAAGCAGGGTTCGAATTTTCATGGGCCACCTATCACGATATTTGAACTTTATGATCATTGCATGCTCGAAGATTCCATGTCACTAGGAAACAATTTTCAATTTAGAGCTAAAAGAGCTTCAGATTTTACCGCGTTCGTGTTGACAAAAATTCTTAATGATGGTGCTAAAACTGAAGATCTTCCGATTTTATCTGCGGATTGCGGAGAGTGGAAAAAGTTTGTTGGAGATACTTTAGAAAAACTTGATTTTAGAGCAGCTGATTTAGAGCATCGCCTGGTACAACCGGAAGAGTTTGGTGGTGCATCTGTTGTGACCATCGAGAACTGTGTTCTCACGAGGTAAGCGGCATCATCAGTTGAAATAAATTTAAATCAATTAATGTCAAAGACAAAAAAGATCGATGCATCTTGATATATCCAGTTGAATTAATTGCCTCAAAAATTGCTTCCTCAAGATTTTTCTGCAGATAGAGGGGTTCGTTGGAAAATATATTTTTTAAGGTGGGCGTTTTAGCCTTTGAGGACTTGCAAAATCCCCTTGGTGATCTTGTTGTGTATGGATATTCTATGCCACATGCAAAATAAAATAATCTATTTGAGCATTTTAAAACTCGAGTTTTTGGTGCGCTTGTTGTTCCGACCATTTGAAAAATGTGGAGGCACTTCACTTGGGTGCTTTAGTTTTTTTTTGTTTTCCACGAAACATCAGGTGCCACAATTAATCATCGGAATGAGACGAGTGATATACCAAATTAGGGCCCTTTTAGTCGTGATTCGAATGACATTTAAACCTTTTAAAAAACTTTTCTCTGTATCGAGAAAAACTGGTTTAATTTTTTTGTTTTTAATTTCAATTTTGAGTCAATGAAGCGAGCGAGCAGGCTTACAACAGGTTGATTGTGCACAATTTATGCCCTAAAAACGTAGGTTTAAGCAATTTGAATCAGTTCATAAAGTTTTGATGCCATTTCTTGAACCAAAACTCAAAAAGTATATAAACATTGTCTGCAAAAAACTTTAAAAAGATTTGACTGTTTTTTGATTTTTTTCTAATACTATTTCAACAAAATTTTTTTTCCAAATTGTCTTTATCATTTTGACTCTAGAATATGCAAAATTATGGTTTTACGTCAGATCCTTTTAGCAAACCACGCATGGTGTTGATAAAACGAATTTCAAATTTTAATCATGTGATCCACAACAGAAAATCTCGGAATTTGTTAGCTAATAATGCTCCTAGGACGCGTTCGAGTTTCGCCCTATGTGACCGTTTTGTGCATGAAAGTTCTCTGCCGCATGCAATTGAAAACAACCTATTTGAGCATTTTGAACATTGAGTTTGTAGTGCGTTTGTTGTTCCGACCATTTGAACAATGTGGAGGAACTATGTACTTGTTTGTTTTTTCTTTTTTTTCACGCAAAATTAGGTACCACAAATAATAATCAGAATAGGTCGAGTAATATACCAAATCGGAGCCCTTTCAGTCGTCATTATAGCGAGAAGAACTGGCTAAAAATTTTTTTGATTTAATTTTATTTGATTTTATTTTCAATTTTGAGCCAATAAAGCCAGCGAGCAGGCGTACACCAGCTCGATTATGCTTAACTCAAGCCCTAACACTTTAGGGTTAAACAATTAAAATAGTTTTTGGAGTTTTTGATGCTTTTTCTGGAACCAAAATATTTGAAAATTTCTTGCACAAAACTAATTTTTTTAAAAGATTTTTTTCGAAACTTTGAACTGAAAATTTTGTCAAGTTTGCCTGTGTCACTATGATTTCCGAGCATGCAAAATTATAGTTTTACGTCAGATCTTCTTATCACACCGCGTATGGCGTTGAAACCACGAATTTCGAGTTTTTATCATGTGATCCACAACGAAAAACCTGGGATTGTGTTGGCTATACCGCTAAGCCGCGTTCGAATTTTCATATTGTTGACCGTTTTGAAATTGTGAATATATCGATTTTCTATGCCACATGCAAGAGAAAACAAACTATTCGAGCATTTTGAACATTGAATTTTTGGTGCGCTTGTTGTTCCGACCATTTGAAAATGTGGAGGAACTTTGTACTTGGGTGTTTTAGTTTTTTGTTTTTCAACAAAATGTCAGGCACCACAAATAGTAATTGCAATAGGTCGAGTGACATACCAAGTAAGTACTCTTTTAGTCGTGATTCGAATGACAATTAAACCTTGTCAAAAACATTTCTCAGTACCGAGAAAAACTGGTTTAAATTTTTTTGATTTTAGTTTCAAATCTGAGCCAATAAAGCGAGCGAGCAGGCTTAAAAAAGCCTAATTGTGCTTAACTAAAGCCCTAAAGCGTAGGGTTAAGCAATTCAATTTCGTTCATAAAGTTTTTGATGCCATTTCGTCAACATAAACTCCAAAAGTATATAAATACTTTCTGCAAAAAACTAAAAAAAGTTTTTCTTTTGATTTTTTCACTTATCATTTTTCAACAAAAGTTTTCGTCTTGCGAATGTAACTATTTATCTCGATTTTGCCAAATATATAATTAAACGTCCGATCCGTTTGTCAGACCACGAATGGCGTTGATACAATGAATTTCAATTTTTATCATGCTATCCACAACGAAAAACCTGGGATTGTGTTGGCTATTACCGCTCCTAAGCGGGTTTCGAATTTTCCCCTTGGTGACCTTTCGTGTTTGATTGTTCTATGTCACCTGCCAAAAAAATTAACTTATTTGAGCATGTTGATCATTGAGTTTTTGGTGCGCTTGTTGTTCCGACCAGTTGAAAATGTGGAGGAACTTTGTACTTGGGTGTTCTATTTTTTTGTTTTTCAACAAAATGTTAGGTACCACAAATAGTAATTGCAATAGGTCGAGTGATATACCAAGTAAGGACTCTTTTAGTCGTGATTCGAATGACAATTAACCTTGTCAAAAACATTTCTCAGTACCGAGAAAAACTGGTTTGAATTTTTTTGATTTTAATTTCAATTCTGAGCCAATAAAGCGAGCGAGCAGGCTTAAAAAGCCTAATTGTGCTTAATTGAAGCCCTAAAGCGTAGGGTTAAGCAATTCAATTCAGTTCATAAAGTTTTTGATGCCATTTCGTTAACCCAAACTCAAAAAATATATAAATACTTTCTGCAAAAAACTAAAAAGGTTTTTCTTTTGATTTTTTCACTTATCATTTTTCAACAAAAGTTTTCGTCCAATTTGCGAATGTAACTGTTACTCTCAATTTTGCCAAATATATAATGAAATGTCCGATCCGTTTGTCAGACCACGAATGGCGTTGATACAATGAATTTCAATTTTTATCATGCTATCCACAACGAAAAACCTGGGATTGTGTTGGCTATTACCGCTCCTAAGCGGGTTTCAAATTTTCCCCTTGGTGACCTTTCGTGTTTGATTGTTCTATGTCACCTGCCAAAAAAAATAACTTATTTGAGCATGTTGATCATTGAGTTTTTGGTGCGCTTGTTGTTCGACCAGTTGAAAATGTGGAGGAACTTTGTACTTGGGTGTTCTATTTTTATGTTTTTCAACAAAATGTTAGGTACCACAAATAGTAATTGCAATAGGTCGAGTGATATACCAAGTAAGGACTCTTTTAGTCGTGATTCGAATGACAATTAACCTTGTCAAAAACATTTCTCAGTACCGAGAAAAACTGGTTTGAACTTTTTTGATTTTAATTTCAATTCTGAGCCAATAAAGCGAGCGAGCAGGCTTAAAAAGCCTAATTGTGCTTAATTGAAGCCCTAAAGCGTAGGGTTAAGCAATTCAATTCAGTTCATAAAGTTTTTGATGCCATTTCGTCAACCCAAACTCAAAAAATATATAAATACTTTCTGCAAAAAACTAAAAAGGTTTTTCTTTTGATTTTTTCACTTATCATTTTTCAACAAAAGTTTTCGTCCAATTTGCGAATGTAACTGTTACTCTCGATTTTGCCAAATATATAATGAAATGTCCGATCCGTTTGTCAGACCACGAATGGCGTTGATAAAATGAATTTCAATTTTTATCATGCTATCCACAACGAAAAACCTGGGATTGTGTTGGCTATTACCGCTCCTAAGCGGGTTTCGAATTTTCCCCTTGGTGACCTTTCGTGTTTGATTGTTCTATGTCACCTGCCAAAAAAATTAACTTATTTGAGCATGTTGATCATTGAGTTTTTGGTGCGCTTGTTGTTCCGACCAGTTGAAAATGTGGAGGAACTTTGTACTTGGGTGTTCTATTTTTTTGTTTTTCAACAAAATGTTAAGTACCACAAATAGTAATTGCAATAGGTCGAGTGATATACCAAGTAAGGACTCTTTTAGTCGTGATTCGAATGACAATTAACCTTGTCAAAAACATTTCTCAGTACCGAGAAAAACTGGTTTGAATTTTTTTGATTTTAATTTCAATTCTGAGCCAATAAAGCGAGCGAGCAGGCTTAAAAAGCCTAATTGTGCTTAATTGAAGCCCTAAAGCGTAGGGTTAAGCAATTCAATTCAGTTCATAAAGTTTTTGATGCCATTTCGTCAACCCAAACTCAAAAAATATATAAATACTTTCTGCAAAAAACTAAAAAGGTTTTTCTTTTGATTTTTTCACTTATCATTTTTCAACAAAAGTTTTCGTCCAATTTGCGAATGTAACTGTTACTCTCGATTTTGCCAAATATATAATGAAATGTCCGATCCGTTTGTCAGACCACGAATGGCGTTGATAAAATGAATTTCAATTTTTATCATGCTATCCACAACGAAAAACCTGGGATTGTGTTGGCTATTACCGCTCCTAAGCGGGTTTCGAATTTTCCCCTTGGTGACCTTTCGTGTTTGATTGTTCTATGTCACCTGCCAAAAAAATTAACTTATTTGAGCATGTTGATCATTGAGTTTTTGGTGCGCTTGTTGTTCCGACCAGTTGAAAATGTGGAGGAACTTTGTACTTGGGTGTTCTATTTTTTTGTTTTTCAACAAAATGTTAAGTACCACAAATAGTAATTGCAATAGGTCGAGTGATATACCAAGTAAGGACTCTTTTAGTCGTGATTCGAATGACAATTAACCTTGTCAAAAACATTTCTCAGTACCGAGAAAAACTGGTTTGAATTTTTTTGATTTTAATTTCAATTCTGAGCCAATAAAGCGAGCGAGCAGGCTTAAAAAGCCTAATTGTGCTTAATTGAAGCCCTAAAGCGTAGGGTTAAGCAATTCAATTCAGTTCATAAAGTTTTTGATGCCATTTCGTCAACCCAAACTCAAAAAATATATAAATACTTTCTGCAAAATACTAAAAAGGTTTTTCTTTTGATTTTTTCACTTATCATTTTTCAACAAAAGTTTTCGTCCAATTTGCG